TTTAACTTTCACCTCTGCCATTTTGCTAATAGTTATAAAAATATGTGTGTGTGTAATTTTACCTACATACCGTATATACATGTATAGCATATTTTTCAGAGTATAAGACGCACCCAGATTTTCAGCCTCTTTTTTGAGGAAAAAAGGTGCGTCTTATACTCTGAAAAATATGCTATACATGTATATACGGTATGTAGGTAAAATTACACACACACATATTTTTATAACTATTAGCAAAATGGCAGAGGTGAAAGTTAAACATTTCTTTTATAGATGTCCAAACTTTAATCTAGATGTTCAAATAGAACTGGTACGTTTGGCAAAATAAAAAAAGTAAAATCAAATTATTTAATAATTTAGCTGAGGGATGGGCAAGAAAGATACAAGATCTAAGATTGGGAAAGTAGGACTATATTAGGGAAACTAATTCAACTAAACTACAGGCCGATTTTAAGCAGCTACAGCCTCAATTTTATATACTTACAGTGCTACTAGTGAATCTGTTGATATATGCTGTAATAACTCCACATTTACTTCCAGTAAAAAGTTGGCAGCTGTCTGGCACCCAGGCACAACTTGTTACCTTAGATACAAAAAAAAGTGAGACATTTAAACAGCATTTATGTTTTATCTGTTGTTCATCTCAAAGACTGCCAAAGGGGATTATATTAAAAACAAATACATTTGAAGAAAAACATTTTGTTTTGTCTTCAGCTGTTTTGCTCTTGAACTCATTCCACTCCTCCACTGGAAAAAGCCACAACCACACTTACAGTAATCAGGTTGCAAATCTACCAGCATTGACTCACATATACAACTAAACTTTCTCCTACTGTAGTTACTCTGCATTATATAGCAAACTACACAAGAAAGTTATAAGGATGCTGGAAATAAGCTTTCTAAGTAACAGGTGGAAAACTGCAACTCTAAACTCTGCAGCTCAAGCTTTTGATATAATGTGTATACCATGCACATATAACTGGGCTCTGGAATCAAGTGGTTTTGCTCACTTAATTCAGACGGAGAATCATTTTCTGCTGACTACTGAAGTGAGCAGTGATTCCCTAAGTCTGATAGTATAATAATCATAAAGTAGCAACTTTATCTATTTAAATAGGATGAAAAGCAAATACAAATTTAAGAAAGTCGGAGTAGCATGAATGCCAGAGCAGTTTATTGTGGTATTAATTTGCCTGGACCAGAGGCCATATACACCTACATTCTACAATTGTGTGGACTAGGTAACAAAAACACTTATGAATAGTGTGATTGATGAGAAGCAGGAAAAACAGCAGCTGGCTCTTTGTTTGCAACTAGGAACATTCATCCTTTAATGTATTTGATTAAACAAACACAAAATCATAAAAGTTCACATCCTACTGATGACTAATTGTAACTNCAGACAGCCTACAAAGTTAGCTAAGACCCCCGCCCCCTAGGAGTCTGACCACCAATCAGAATACACTTCTTAGACAGGAACAGGAAGCTCTAAGGTGGGGCCCAGGAGAGGGTGTAAATCTCTCTCTCACCCATGTGCCTTTTCCTTCCAGGACCTCAAACCATGTGGTCTTGTCCACCATTAAAAACCATCTTTCCAAACAGTCTCTATGTTTCCAGTGTCTTTCTTCCCACTTGGAACTGAATCCAGATGGACATTTCTTCCAACAATGAAGAGAAGGTAATGCAGGAAAACACTTCTTGCTCTTCCTACCCTGGATTTTGGTGAATGAGCTTTGGTAGCTGTCTTAATAAAACCCAGATTTCAGGAACTATGCATAAGTAAACATTAAACAGCTTATCCTCAATAAAAATATGTTGGGGCTATGTTTGTTTTCAATCAAAGAAAGTTATAAGTTGTATGGCTCTATCATTGGTTTATTTAATATGTACAGTAAAATTTAAGTATTAAAAGTACCGTATATAATATATGTATTTCTTGCACAAACCGAACTCCAAAAAACGTTTTATTTGGGAAGAGATAATTGCATAAATACATGCATCATTTTAGGAACTCACAGGTCAATGAATGAATCCAGACAGCATTTGGTTCTAAGCTCTTATTTCAACCTTATTACTGATAACCTAAATTGAACTGACATATGATAAATCTAAATTTATCTGTTTGTCAAGGAAGCTTTTAGTATGAAATGGTGCCTTCTAAAGGTAAAGATAAATGTTCCCCTCGCACATATGTGCTAGTAGTGCCTGACTCTAGGGGGCGGTGCTCATCTCCATTTCAAAGCCGAAGAGCCAGCACAGTCTGAAAACATCTGTGGTTATGTGGCCAGCATGACTAAACTCTGAAGGCACATGGAACACTGTTACCTTCCCACCAAAGATGGTCCCTATTTTTCTACTTGCATTTTTGCATGCTTTTGAAAGGCTAGGTGGACAGAAGCTGGGACAAGTAACAGGAGCTAACTCCGTTACTCAGCACTAGGGATTCGAACCGCTGAACTGCCAACCTTCTGATCGACAAGTTCAGCGTCTTAGCCACTGAACCATCACGTCTCCTAAAGGATCTGATAAATTGACTACACACTGACATGACTGAATTCAGATTTTGTTTCCTCTTAGAAACAAATTAGATTGTATTTTACAATTTCACCAAGGATCATTAGGAAAGTACGTTTAGCTCCTGGATAATTTCTGATTTGCTGGTTAAACCCAGGATATCAAGTATCAAAGCATTTTTATGTTTGGGCATAGCAGCAGACAATCTGCTCAAAAAGGCTGGCTTTCCATAATTATTTTCTATTAGAAACTAAGGATTGTGCTGAGAAAAATAAATTTCTGAGCAGAAAGCTGAGAGAAACTTCTTCAGTAATCTTTTGTGTAACAAGTGATGAATGTGGACTGAAACCCATCAACTTATTCAAGCAGATAAAATGTAATTTCTTTGGCTAGTTTGTTTGTAGTGATTTTAGCTGGAATTTCTTTGTATGTTTATTTTCCTATTGTTTTTCCCTGATTTCCCCCCCCCCCCCAACAAATCTCATTTTAGAGTTGTGGTTTTATTGGTTTAATAAGTAAGTCTCCTATTAAAACTACACAAGACTGGATGGTTGCATCTTGCATTTAAGGACTCGTGCATCGTTTGTTAAGTTACGTATCAAAGTATTTTTCTTTGTATTCTTTTTAGGACTGTTAGGAAAGTCCTGGACAGACTAAGAACTCCCTTGTTGCACCAAGTGGTGCCAGAAAATTCAGCCTAATATATATTGGCTTTTTACAAGAATTCATTAGTCACAACCCAAAAATCTATTACAGGAAGGAGAAGTCCTCCAGTGATATTTAAATATAATCCCCATCTCCATTTGTAATAATAGCAAGCTATTATTACAACCTATTATGAACAATGTGCTGGACCTCAAACTATTTTCTGATTCTCTTGTATGCCAATGACTTTCTGATATGTTAACTAGTTAGCCAGTCACCCAGCCTTACAGCAGGAGTGAGAAAGTATGACAACTTTATAATCTATGGACTTCAACTCCCAGAGCCCGGTTGACTCAGGAATTCTGCAAGTTGAAGTCTACAGGTTGTAAAGTTGCCACAGTTATTCACCTCTGCCATAGCCTGAAGACAAGCACAGCAACCACATTTCCAATTCTAAACCATCTTCCTAGGTTATTTATTCTACACTTTTATGACAATGAGGAGCTATCGGGTAAGCCAGTTTCCCTTATAGACACTCATCCACCAGAAGTTAATACTGGAAATTAAGTTATTTAGTTAACCTCTTCTCAGCATAGTTGGAAATCAGTCACATTTTTATTCTGACCAATGAAGACTTCTACACAATGCAAAAGCTTGCATATCTTGATTGAAGTCAAGATAAAGATTTAACTTCTTACTATTTCCTTTGCACTTCTATGAAAAATTGTATAAAATTAACTCCATAGGCTTATCATTGCTAGTTTGCATTACTTCCACTTGATAAGGCACCTACCTGAATCACAAACAGTTGCAATGTCCCCTGTTGTTTCACTAGCAGACACTGCCGTAACAGGACTTTTGTGCCCAGCAAGACTTTGCACATAGCAGAGCCTGTAAAAATGATTTGATTGTTCAAAGAACCACTCTCATCATTAATAGCAGTTGTAACATTTTAAAGTAATGCTTTAAATTCTTATTTCCAATACTAATATTGGAATATCACTCTTAACTATCATCAGTGTGTAGATGGGGAAAAATACACAGGGTTAAGCAATCTTACTGTTAATTTTATAAGATGGAACAAATCAATCTTCACTTATAATTTAGAGTCTGGGGACATTCAATACAGTAAGGAGTGTGATTTAAAAATGCTTATACCTGTTCAAATCCCATATGATACAAGTTCCATCTTTGCTCACACTTATCATGATGCTATAGGGTTTGCAGACAAGCAAGCTGGTGATCTCTGCAGTGTGTCCATATAGATGCATCTGAGACTCCATGTCGATTTCAGAAGGCTGTGAAGGAAAATAGACAACCATAAATTTAGCAGAAGGCGGGAACAAATGTACTATATTACAAGTCAAACTTGAGACTAGATTTAAAGATACACCTGCTTCATTCATTATTTTACTGATTAGCAAGTGCCATTTTATTATCTTTTCCCTGAAAGGAAGGTATCCCCTGTCCAGTTATGTCTGATTCTAGGGGCGGTACTCATTTCTGTTTCTTAGCTGAGGGAGCCAGCGTTATCTGATGCTATCGTGATCATGTGGTCAGCATGACCATGTGCCAAGGTGCACAGAACACTGATACCTTCCCACTAAAGGGGTACCTATTTATCTACTTGCATTTGTATGTTTTTAAACTGCTAGGTTTGCAGGAGCTGGGACAAGGAACCGGAGTTCACTCCATCAGAGGGTGTTTGGATCCCGAACTGCCAACCTTCCTGTTGCTAAGTCCAATGTCGTAACCATTTTAGTCCTGTATAATTGTTTTTCTCAATTTCAGTTACAAAAACAGTAAGCCAAGACTGCTTATGTCTCAATTCAAGCTTTTCTTTAAAACTGAACGCTTGATTGACAAACAATTGCTACTATGGCATTAACTGTGAAAACTAGCTCATTTAGATCTTTCACGTAGCTATTAGCACAGAGGAAAGCTCTAAATAGCTGCCTATTTTACAGCACATGTTGTTGCTTAGTAATTCATGAGAGGATATATACAATATACTTCTTTAGCTGTAACCAAATGGTGTGCAAAATCAGAAACTTTTACCCCATGCTGTTTTTTTTAAAAAAAAAATTATGCTGTTTCCTCTATTAAACGTGAGAGAGCTAATTAAGATGCAGGAATGTAATAAAATAAGCTGATAATGACAGAAAGCAGAGGTGATAGACAATAGCTTTGATATACCAGGTACAGCATTGTCATGTTGGAATCCCAAAAGGAAGGCTGCTAGACTTCAACAACCCATTAATATACCAAATCCCAAGATTTATTACGCTGCAAATAATTTTGGGCAAATAATGCATATTCAAATTGTACACTAAAAACAGTGTTTCAGCATCTGACCTATCTTTTATAGATAAGAAGGCCACTGAGAGGTATTTAGACCATGTTCACTAGTTAGTGCATGTAATTGACAATGCTTTTCCTTATTTATTGCTCTGTGCAAAATCTCATTGTTTCTCTAAGTTAATATTCATTTTAGAAAAGAAACCTAAACAGACCTTAGCAAACATACTGCCATATCATATGGCCTCTTCTTATGCTACTAACTACACTACTTTACTTTACTGTGATTGTATGTATATACACAGTTTACACATACAACAAAATTCACATAACACCTAAAGACCAGACCCAACACACATAACAATCTCCAAACACACCCCCACCCACCAAAAAATTCACTGCCCTGTCCAATAGCTCACTGATGGTGACCCCTTAGTTCATTGTTGAGTGCAATTATAGTTCTGGGATAAAAGCTATTCAGAAGACGTGTGGTCCTAGTTTAAATTGTTCTGTATCTTCTGCAACAATCTAAAAAGATTAAGCAGGATGGGAAGAGTCTCTGAGAATGTNAGTATGGGAGACATATAGTCTAAATAACATTCCTTTCTCAGAGAGTCAAGGACATCTTGCCCTGTACCTGCAGCGGTGTGACTAGGAGGCATCTCCAGTAGGGACGGGATCTGATTGGACCATGTGATGGACATGTGAGTGCTGAGCAGGGATTTGAACTTTCAATTGGATGGGGGAAACCTGGAAGCTTTCAGATTTGGGTTTTCCCAGATGTGCCTATATGACATTTCTAATAAAATGGAACTTTGAGGAAACTCAATCCTCGCAGTCCTCTTTTGTTAGTGGCGTTACTAGGAACAATAACTCACTGATTAGAAACACCTACTAAAGGATTGGAAGGAAGGAAGGAATGGACCCACTGGAGCACAATACCCCAATCCCCGCAGATGAAAGCATAGCATGGTTAACAAAGGGTCTAGCGGTTAAGACACCAGGCTAGAAAGCAGAAGACCATGAGCTCTAGTCCTGGCTTAGCCGTGAAAACCAGCTGGGTGACTTTAGGCTGGTCACTTTCTATCATCAACAGAGTAGTTGTGGAAAAAAAATAAGAAAAAGAAGAGGTGTATTGGATATGTTCATCAACTTCAGTTACTGTATTTTTCAGAGTATAAAACGCACCTTTTTTCCTCTAAAAAGAGGCTGATAATCTGGGTGTGTCTTATACACCGAATACAGCATTTTTTGCCTCCTGAAGCCCTGCCTCTTCACCAAAATGGCCATGCATAGCCTTATGGAGGCTTTCAGAGCTCCTGGGGGCTGGGGAGGGCAGAAGTGAGCAAAAAATGGGCCATTTTGTGCCCTCCCCTCAGCCCCCAGCAGCACTCTATAAGCCTCCATAAGGCAACTTTTTTGACAAAAAAAAGCCCATTTTCGCGAAAAACGGGCCATTTTGGGGAGGTTTGCAGAGTGCAAAACCTTTTTTTCCCCTTTCAGAAAGCTGTTTAGTTAGAGTGGTTGATGAGAATTAGATTGGTCAAGTGCTGTGCCAGCAGAAAGTTTTAGGTGCTNTGTGTGTGTGTGTGTGTGTGTGTGTTACATTGCAGTATGTTGCAGGAAGAAGTTCTGTTATATAATGAACACAGTAGCATTATGAAACATACTGGGTAGACAATCTCTTTCGTATGCTCCCTTGTTTCTCTGAAAGCAAACTGCACTAATAATCCCATTGCAGCAGGGAGTTCTCCTTCCATAGGTTTCGATCTGCTGACGTGAGCCGTGTGGAACAGCTGGCGAGGAGTCTGCCCATATGTTTTTATCATAGTCTCCAGAGCTCTTCTTTGGACTGGATCTTCAACAGCTGACACATCCATTCCAAAATATGTCTAAAATGTAAATCAGAAACAAACAAATTATATCTATGTAGATGTATAAGCATGTGTGTTCATTAAAGGATAAGAGAAGAATTCATTCTTAGGGCATGTATATGTTCCTTTTGTTAGATTTTTGTTTTCTTTTATTGTTTTAAAAATCACGGTAGTGTAAGCAATGCCTTCTCTTCCTATTTTCCCCACAACAAGCACCCTTTGAAATGGGTTGGGCTGAGAGAGAATAACTGGAGTAAAGGCACTCAATTGATTTCTCTGCCTAAGGGAGGACTAGAATTCAGTGTCCCTATTTCTAGTCTAAAACCTTAACCATTACATCAAACTGGCACACATAAAACTTTTTAAATAAAAAAATTAAGCAGCCAAGCAAGTATACTATACAGCTGAGGCAAAATAGTAGCACCAAAGTTCCAAGGTAACAAAAGTTCTTCAGACTTCCACTTGGTTCAGTTATCAGCAAAATAAAAAGATCCAAAAAGATCCAGTAAGAAAGAACTGTAGGTTCCACACATAAAGCACAGACATAAGAGACACCCTGTATCTCCCAGCTTCTGAACCTCTGCAAATTTACCTTTGATCTTTCTGTAATTTAGTCACTCTAAAATATTTTAATTTTTATCACCATAGAAGCCATCTACACCTTAATGTGAGCATCTTGGCCTGATTTTAGAACGGATACTGCTATGGATGCCTTAGGGTAGTCGCATCCTTGGCAATTTTTAAGATATGTAGACTTTTAGGATTTGAAGTCCACACATCTTAAAACTGCTAAAGTTAAAAAACACTGCCTTGGAGGATGACATTTATTAGGCACCGTTGATTCTGCCTGACCTCCTCACAATCTTCAGTTCTACCATCTTTAGTATCCTGTTGGATTCTGAAATAGGAACTGACCAATAATTCCAATTCTATCTAACACATCCTAAAAATGGATGCTGGAAGATTGCTCTTTGTTATTGAGGGCCAAGGAACAGCTGAAGAGGACATTCCGGAAATTCAGCAACATATGGCTAACACACTGTTTTCTTTTTCTTTTTAATGCAAAGAAAGCAGTGATAGCTTTGAACTAACCAATATAATATATACTATACGGATATAGTAATGGGTTGGTTGCAGCCTAATAATGTACCTTAACACATATAAGACACATGTGCTATACTTCAGTAGGAATGTCCAAACAAGAATGAGAATATGCTACATTTTAGATGAGCCTGGATTCCTTGTACATGCTGGATCTAATACTGTTATTGAATGAAGGGCAAATGTATTATTATTATTATTTTTAAAAGGATACTTACAGCAGGATGAAAGACATTAATCGCTTGAACGGAGGTCTTGCCTTTTTGTTTATACCCAAATACTAAATCAATCCAATGGCAGATGGTTTGGGAAACATGGTCAGACTCTAAAGCTTGACGGTGGATCAGAATAAATAATCTTGGATCATTTCGAGCCCAGGGTGGGAGGTTCACATGGTTTACTCTTTCACCATTCTGACGTATCCCAAAATCAAAACCTATAAATAGAAATAATTCATATTAGTTGGCTTAAATCTAAATAATTAATATAAAAATCATTTTTATCTTCACACAACATTTTTTAAAAACCAACTCATGGTAATTGTTGCAAAATTATGTTCTCCAAAATTTTACATTAACAATTGATTAAATCAATTGTATAGTTTGCATAGCTTTAAATCTGAAAGTGAATCTTGGACTTGTGCACTTCTCCTGTTTCTCTCCTCCTCCAGGAAAAACCTCTTTTTTAACCAATCTGCAGTTTATTATGAATGAACCAAACATTTTGAATCTATTATCTATTACCCATTTTTTAAACAATGTTTTTCAGTAATAATAATGGTCCACTTTCCCTGTGATTAGATGTAAAGTTTAACACAATTGAGATCTATGTTTTGTTTACCAACAGTTGAAAGTCCATTTTTTATTATTTTTTTAGATTTCTGGATCACTGCAACTATATGACTCCCAGCAAAAAAAATAAACAATACTGGCATAACAACAATATTATTAGAAAATTAAAACCTACTATGCAACTGGAGCAATAAAATACTAGCATTTCACCAGAGGAACTTAATCTTAATTTGCTTTCAGAAGGGGCTCAACATTGGAACCATTTTTATTTGGGGGGGGGCTAATATGGAGACCATTTTAGAGAAGCCCTTCCTTCTGGCCTCAACCCCCCCCCCCCCCCCCCAATTTCATGATAGTGGGGAACTATGAGGGAATGATCCAGATCTAGCTGAGAATCTTGTGAATAAACAGCACTTCATCTTGCTTTGGTTCAACTTCAGTTTGTTACTTCCCAATCATATCAAATAGC